TCCAGATATAAGCTACTGCTAATTAGAAACAATTCATCTCATAAAAAAGCTACACTATAAACTACTGACAAAATAACTATATCACAGTATCACAGCTATTTAACCCTCTGGGCAAAATATTCTGAGCAAAATACTTGTTTTTACTATATAACTACAGGATAACATTTTTTTCATTATTATCATTAATTTAATTAATATATTTTGTCTGTGTTTATCTAAAACAAAAATAACGAGGATCTCAATTTAGGGGCCCAGCGTTCAGCTTGAACAGAAAAAAAATACACTAAATACTAATGAATAATTAATAACTAAACATACTAATTTATATAACTGAGTCAAAACTAGGTTTTGTTAATAAATATACATATGAGTTTACCAGTAATGGCAAAACTACATCATTATATGTTAGCAAAAGTGGCATGATAGCCTGATAAAAAAAAAAACTTCTGCTGAAAAAAAGTTGAGTTTGTTGAAAGAGTTGAACAGAGTTTCATCATGATTCATATGATCTTCCGTGAGGCATCTTTCGGTCTGTCTATGAGTTACAGACTAAATTAAGCTCATAAATGTATCATCCACCCCCTCAACACTTCTGTCTCTATCCATCTCTCATTCCTGATTCCACATGTCAATTTCTGTTCAGTTCTGCTTTAAATAATGTTTATCACTGGTTCTTTACAGGGCATCAGGCCAAAACCCCAGTGAGCGAAATAAGGTCTTTTTAGTGCAAAAAGGAACCTTTAAGAGAAAGGCTATTTTTCAAAAGGGTAGTTAAACTAAATTTACAGCTTTAAATCAGTTTCAAAGCAGTTTCCCCAAACACTGGCTACATTATACTGAGCTGCCACTCTGTCTGTCTGTCTATCTATCTATCTATCTATCTATCTATTAGGGGTAGAGTGTAACGATTCACTTGTTTTCTCGATGCATCGATTACAAATCCTGACGATGCAATGCATCGATCTTGAAACATGATTTTTGAATCGTGAATCGTCGATTTCGGACAGTAATCGATTTAAAATGCTAAGAATCGAATGAATCCCGATTTCTATAGCGATTCAATGCTTTCAAAATATATACACATTAAATTACTACAAGATCGATGCATCGATTACAAACCCTGACGATGCATATGCATCGATCTTGAAACATGATTTTTGAATCGTGAATCGTCGATTTCGGACAGTAATCGATTTAAAATGCTAAGAATCGAATGAATCCCGATTTCTATAGCGATTCAATGCTTTCAAAATATATACACATTAAATTACTACAAGACCTTGAACAGTGTTTGTGCCCTCGCATCTCTCCTTCACGCGCTCCACTATTTACCACCTGTCACAGGATTGTGCTCGCACTCCCTTCGTCTTACTGACACATTTTTTGAGCAGCTGATGTGTGATCTCTCCTTATGACTCGTGGCCAGTAATGTTAAAGTGAAGTAGTTTTACTTTTCTGTAGTTTTTCAATGGCTCTCGGTCATACCGACGACATTACCTGAGCAGTCATAGGTTGCGCGTTTATTGCATGGACAGAGCAAAAATGTAAGTGTTTAAAGCAGTGGTTCTCAACCTTTTTTTCCACTGGGCCGAGCTATGGTCCAAATGCAAGTCTTATGGTCCGCACGCATATCATTTACATATTACATCACCAATACAAACCAACCAGATTTATAATATTATAGCCTAAATATTATGATATCTAATCGATTACATTCATTGA